TCGTGTCTCCCTTTGAGAGGGATGAGGAAAATAAACTAGAGAAGAAGGAGAAACTAAACAAGGGTGTGGTGGCCTCCACAACCCAGCTTGAGCCTGCAGAGTGCTCTGGAGCGCGGTAGCCAGGAGTGGGGTGCCTCTGAGAAGTTGAACAAGCCCTTAGCAGAGCAACAGCGGATTAAAGGGATCCCCAGAATCAGGCAGGGCACCAGCCTCTCTTGCTGCACAGAACACTGTGCCTTTCCTTCCTCTGCCCAGGGATTTTGGCATCCAGATCTATCCATAAACCCCCACTCCCAGCCTCAGCAAGACTTGTGTGGTGCGTTTATACAATTAATGCTGTGTGGGGTGGTGGTAGTAGGTGTGTGTGTCAGGAGATGAAGTCACTATTTTTAAAACAAAAGGCTATGGGGGTGTTTTGTTTGCAATGTTAGGGATATAAACCAGGATCTTATACATGGTAGGCAAGTGCTCTAGCACTGAGCGACCCCCACGCCCAGCTCAATGGAGTTCTCGATCGAATGTGGGAGCCACGGTCTCTGTGCAATTTAAGATGACAATGTGGGACTAGGGATATAGCTCAGTGGCATAAGCGCATGCCCGACAAGATCAAGGGCCTGAGTTCCATCCCATATAACAACAAAAATCCTCAAGGCGAAGATAACAGGGCTGAGGAGAGAGCTCAGCGACATAAGTGCCTGCCTGGCAAGCACAAGGTCCTGGGGGAGGGGGAATATATATATATATATATATATCCTTTTCACAGGATCGATCTCTCTCTCTCTCTCTCTCTCTCTCTCTCTCTCTCTCTCTCTCTCTCTCTCTCCCCCAGAGCTGGGGATTGAACTCAGGCCCTTGTGCTTGCCAGGGAAGTACTTATTCCACTGAGCCATCTTCCCGGCCCCAGTCTTTTCTCGTAAAGATGACATTTACCAGCTTTCCACACCGTTACTGCAGACAGTCATAGCCCTGTATCTATGAGTGGAATTAGCCATCCATGGATTAGGAAAGTATTTTTTTGTTTTAAATTATATATATATATATATATATATATATATATATATATAGTTTCTTATTTCCTGAAGATTGTGAACTGTATTAAGTCAACCTGAATTCAGTCATAATGGAAATATGCATATTAGCCCTACAGCTGGTTTTCAAAATCAGATATAAATAATCAACACACAGAAGCACCAGGGTGCACACATGTAATCTCTGTGTCCACTCTTGTATCTCACCATTACGTTCATTGGACCGAAGATGTCCTCAGGTCCTGGGAGCTGGTTGGCCAGCTCAGAAACCCAGCCAAAGTGCTGTCTCATCTTCTCCATCAGATACATGGTGTCTTCCAAGTGATACTGGGTCATCCGCACAACCTGGTCGTACTGCTGACTGGATATATTGACCAGTCTGAGGGCCTCACTGAGTTCTCTGTGCAGCCCAGGCACACTGGGGCAGTCTAGCAAAGAAGAAATAACAGTAAAGAAAATGCTCATGAAGCTCAGAGGAGGGCGGTGTGGCGTCAGCCCCAGAGTGCCGAGTTTATGCGTTGGCCCACGTCAGCTCACGTAGGATCCAGTTTAGCTGACTGAAAAGTATATAATTTTAGGTAACAGAAACTGGGCCAGAGATAGAGTTTCTTATCACGACTCGTGTGCCTGGCGTCTATATTAAGGGAAAAGAAACATCACCAAGGCAGAGACTCCCTGTTAAACCCCTTCCATCCCGCAGCCCCTTTACACATCCTCAAAAGGAAACTACTACTTTAAATTTGGGTGTATGTGTCTAGAACTAGTAATTGTGTGGGGGAAAAAAGAAAGGACCCTTGCCATGAGCCCATTTAAAAGTGCTCCCAAAAATATGTAGCAAATAGTGTAAAAAGGATTAGTGGTGTTTTGGAAAATATTTTGTCTTTATTGATTATGAAATCATAATTATAGATGTGTGTTTAGTCTCAGAATACAACTTGATCAAGTATTGATTGTAAAGGAAAAAGAAATTGTTTGGTAAAATCAATGTGAGTTGGCTGTAATAGCAAAACTCAAGACCACACATTCCACCGGCTTGAGTCTTGGGACGCGCATGTGGTACCGGTGGTTCAAGCCAGCCCCATCGTGAGTGTGTGGGAGGCACTTCAGTTAGACAATGGACAAGCTGTGTCTATGTAGACAAAATACAAGAGGAGTTAGTGAACGAGGGCAGCATGTACACACATGGCTGAATCGCACGAACTACGTGAGTAAAAAGTTAGAAGATAATATTTATATTGTTAAAAAATTATGCAGAGGCTGGGGAGATGGAATAAGGCTCAGTGGAATAAGCGCTTCCTTGGCAAGCGCAAGGGCCTGAGTTCAATCCCCGGTTCTGCAAAAAAAAAAAAAAAAAAAAAAAAATCTATGCAGAACTCTTAAGGCACAAGAATAGCCATGTGTCCTTTCAGTATCATACATTGTCCACAGTGCCTACCCATTAATTTTTTTCTCTAGAGACATGATCTATTGTCGGATTTACCATGTATGGCCGAGTAAGGCCAGACTTTGTGAAGTTACATGTAAATTTTGGATTGGAAGTTGAAAGTAATTTTTGCCCAACAGGTATAAATTATCTTGGATTGATAGAAACAATAACTGAAGAAGTCCAGTTTGTAACAAAATCTTCTAAATGTAATACTTTTCAAAAGTTTTTCTACCAACCAGATTCCAGATGTCAAAACTTTCCAATGCACACTCTAAGGTGAGATAGCTATGTCTATGGAAAGAAAACCTGGCCCTGGGACGATGTGAAGAAGCCGGGAGTCCATGTATGCAATGGATGCTGCTTCCAGAAGAAGGGGCAGAGAAGACCACCATGAAGCAGGAGGATGGAGACGGGATACGGTGCAAGGCAGAAAGAAAGAGCACCCTGCGCCCTGTTCAGCCTAGAAAAGCCACTCTCCCCTGAGGTCGGCCCCACCTGAGAATGCCGAAGTAAGAGCCCAGGCTGGTGACGTTGAAGCGGACGTGACAGGGAGTGTTGCTGGCTCCCAAGGAGGCCCGTAACCTCCCAGACACTGGTCCAGTGTAACAGACTATTAGTCAGGATTTCTCCTTTGGAGTTCCAAAGCCTGAGGGTGTTCGGAACCTTTGCACCAGGGGAGGACTTGTTTTAGTAACAGAGAATATCTCTCCTAGAGCATAGTTACCTTGAGCATTGTGATTCAGGGAGTTTTGTTTTGAACTATTGGGGAATCAAACCCAGATTTTGCACATGGTAGGTTTCTTAGTTATTTTCTGGTTGCTGAGACAAAATATCTAACACCCACAAGTTGAGGAAGGAAAGGTTTGTTTTATCTCACACAATTTGTAGAAGTTTTAGTCCACAGTCAGTAGACTCCAAGGCAGGCATCATGCGAGAAGGGCATCCAGTGGAGAGACAGTCCACAGCACAGCGGGCAGGAAGCAGCAGCAGCACCCAAGACTCCCTTACTCTTTTGTCCGGTCCAGGCTACAAGCCTATTGGTTGGCGCCACCCACACGCAGGGTGGGCCTTCCCATAGCCACACCCAGAACTATGCTAAAGTAATCAGTAGGCTAATTTAGGCATCACACATCCTAGAGGGAGCCACAGCAGATCGCTTCAAAGACTGGGGCATCTGAGGCCTATAAGGGCATGACCCTGCTGGTGGATAGGCACAAGATGGGTGCACGCATCTACGTGCATGACTTAGCATAGATAACCAGGCATGTGCTAGGTGGTTGTGACAGCTCACAAGAATGTAAACTTGATAATGGCCAACATATATGAGCCAGACAATAAAGGCACTGCTTGCTATTGTTGCTGATCTCTGCTTTACATGCTTTCTCTGGGGACCTCATCCATGGAAATATCCCTTCAGCCCCCGACCCCAGCGCCCTCTTATGAGCACATTGAGGCTATGAGGGGACAACTGGATCCAAACTGTAACAGTGGACAAGTGCTCTTCCACGGAACTATATCCCGGCTTAAGCAGAGGGATTAAAGAAAAGTCAGCAAGGTGCAGTGGCATAAATCTGTGATCCCGGCAGCTCAGGAGGCTGAGGCAAGAGGAATGTGAGTTCCAGAACAGCCTGGACAACTCATCAAGACAATTTTTTTTTTTTTCTCGAGACACTGTTTTAAATTAAAAGTGAGGGCTGGCAAAATAGCTCAGTGGTCTAAAGCACCTGCTTCAGCAAGCTTAGGCAGGCTTAGGGGAACT